GCGGCTTGCGGGGGAATCGATCGATCGATCGGATCGCAGTTTGGAAGCGCACGCGACGACCGAGACATCCGTTTCAGCAGATATACCGCAGCAGGTGCTTATACATATAGACAGACGAAGCGCAAGCACACGTGGAAGGAGTCGAGCCGCCAAGGAGCCCACGTAGGATGTTTCGGGCGCAACGATGCGAGCTGCCGATCGATTCTTGCGCGTTTCTCGTCTCTCAAGGCTCTCGATGATATGGTTCTATGTATACATGTATATAGATAGGGAAGGCGCATAGCTGTGTACGCGATATGCTGCGGCAGAGGCTCGCTCTATATATACAGGGAATTGGATCGGTTTCAGGGGTGAACCGCCTCGTAATGATGCAATGCCGGCTATGGGCGCGTCTCGCACGCCGCCGCCGCCGCTTCATTGTTTGCCATCCCATGAGAGAGCAAGAGAGACAGCTTATATATACCGCGCGTGTGTGTGCACTGCACCTCGGCTCTCCTTTAGTGCATATTGAATTCAGTAGCTCAATCCCCGAAGCGATAAATACCCCTGGCCAGGTATTTTAATCGATGAGCGGCCAGCAACGACGACGACGAAAATGAAAGAGAAAAACCAAAACAACGAGTATACAACGTTTTGCTCGCCGTGCGCAAGTGTGCAGTACTACGCGTGGCTCGTTTATCTTGACTCGTGTAGTTTACAACAGTCTGGCCCCGAACTCACTCTTATACTCCAGCCCCTCACGTGTATGTGTGTGTGTGTGCGCGCAAAGGAAAGTTCCGGCGCGACGAGCAAGTTGCCTCGGCGCACTATGTATGTACAGCACAGGAGGTATATAGGAGCAGCTAGCCGGGGCTCGTGCAGTGCGCGACGTAGAGTTTCGTGTGTGGTTTCGCAGTGTGTGTGTCTGTGTGTGTGTGTGTTTCGCCGACGACGACGCATCGTCCCGCATTCTTAAGTCGAGAGACGTTGGAGCTTTTGCCCCATAATTTCTAGACCTAAGTCACGCAAGCTCCTGCGTATACACGTACACGTGTGTCTCCGACAGGAGGTAAAGCAGCGGCAGCAAGTGAGGCGCCTCGGAGGATTCGCGCGCTAATGTCATTTTGACTTATCTTTCATTTTTCAACGAAAATATCACACAGGCAAGACTAATACTACCGGACACGCGCGCAGAAGGTTTTCGCGTGTATATGCCGCGTACTAGCTAGCTGCTGCTGCACACCGGTTGCGCATCGGCCTGCGCCGCGTCGCGTGGAGCCAGCTATGACCCGCGTAAATCGTGTGTTTACAGCTGAGGCAGTGCTTCGACTTGCGGACTGTGGCTCATAATTCAGAAGGTCCCTGAATATCACGACCGCAGAGCTGGCAAATATTTAGTCTCTCTGCAAACGGGATCGATATAATATACCTACACACATGCTGCTCTGCAGCTTTCCTCTACTATTCGTGTTTCGCCCTCTCTTCATATATCCTTGCCTCTTATTATTATACACACCGTATACTAGAGCCCCACACACTCATTCGTAGCAGCAGTAGACGAAAGGTATGAAAAAAATTACAAAGCGTTCGGCTGTGCGTGCCTTTTTTGTTCTTCGCTCTATACCTGAAAGCTTCCTCGATAATTGTTTCCTGCTGTATGAACTTTCTCATCGGGGAGGCGAAACTTTTCACGCCTCCTCGAGTCTTTTGTCAGCTGCTGTATACATGCGCTCCTCAACTGCCAAGGAGGAAACGCGCGTGTATGTGTTGCTCCGAGCGTGCAGCAGCAGCAGCAGCATGTGCTATAACACACTGCAGCAGCAGCAGTATATGATCGAAGAAGGGTTATAAATTTTTGCGAGCTTGATTTCGAGCCTTGGATAAGACGCCGCCGTCGTCGTCCTTTACATTTTGAGACGCGATTTATAGTGCATATTATGCTGCTCCGGTATATTCTAGGGCTGCGGAATATGATTTATAAATGCGGGAGTGAAAATTTACCGCCGAGCTAATCGAAGCTCGCAAGAGAGAGCAAAGTTTGATAAGCAGTATATACCACTGGAGTGGAGCTAGGATTCTTTTGATCGAATATACAACCGCAGAATCGCGACTGATTTCCCATGTGTGTCCGCGATGAGTCAACAGCCATTACATGTTCCAAGCCGAGCCAGCATACACACGAATCTCGCAACTATATAGCGCGCATAAGCGCACGACGTTCATATATTCATCCCTGCCGCTAGCCGAAAATCGATCGAAATAACTCCCTCGAGTCGATTGCTGACATCGCTGATCAAAGCGCACCACCGCCGTTGCCGCCGACGTGGACTTTTTTTTTATATCCGCGCTTATACACTCGCTAAAACTTCTATAATTACTCTGCAGCGGCGCGGGTTTGGCTTTGCCTATTGTATTGCGCTAGTTGCAACGTCATTTTTTCGCAATGAATAAAAATCGGCCTTACTCTATCTATCTTTCTCTCTCTCTTTCTGGCGAAGCTTAGTTAATTACAAATCGATCGTGCGCACGAATACACGACGTACGTTCGCTGCCAGGGCAGCACCGTCAGGAGGTCGATGTATTCCTCGACGCGCACTAAACTCGCCCCGGACTATTTTCCGGGACGATATTTCCTTCCCAATCGGTGGCGGTGGCGGCCGGTTATTAAAACTTTTACACGCGGGGGTCATTATCGAGAGAGAGAGAGAGAGAGAGAGAGAGAGAGAGAGAGAACTGGTCTACCCTACTACGCTCTAGCTACCAACCAACCTACCTACCCCCTCGCTGCTTCGCTGGGAAACTTCATTAAAATTTGTAATACACCTTAATTATGCATCAGCCCCTGCCCATTATGGATCTGTTATGGTCAACGAGTTTATTATAAACTTATGCCGCGCGCGCAGAGCTTCAGCCGAGCAGCAGCAGCCACGGATGGACGTGATTAAATTATTTATCGGTCGGAAAAATGTTTTCTAATTAGTTTTGAATTATCGCCCTTATACCTATATACTTGCCGTAATTATAGATCGTTAAAAACAGAAGAAAAAAAGAAGGTCGAACATCGCTCGCGATTATAATGGGCGATTCGAGATTAATTCGGATGTATAATTATATTGATCGAGTGCGCACCGTGTGTAACGGTGAGTGCCCCCCGTGTAACAATGAATTTCCATCGACGCGAGAGGGACGTATATAAGCTCCTGCGTATGGAGAAAACGTCGTCGACGCGCATGTCTTTTTGACGAGCGTATACGAAAGCCGCTGTCAACCGGTCAGTAATTGAAAAACTCATCCTCTCGCCGGCTCCACGTCGCCGTCGTCGTCCCTTACGGATTATAACCCCTTGAACGATATCCCTTAGCCCCGGCAGAGAGAGAGAGATCGAAAACTGACGGCACGAGAGAGGACTTGCGAGATAAAGACGACGAGGCCATGCAGCCAACATGTCGAGCACCGCGCCGCTCGTATATAATCTCCGACGATGCGCCTCGGGCACGAAAAATCAACAGTGGCCACACACACACACACACACACACCCTTGTAATACTGCACAGTGTCGTCTATATCCTTTCCCTTCGCCTTCGAGGAGTAGGTAGAGACTCGTGCGACTGATGGCTGATTAATTGGATGTCGCGCGCGCGGGGGAACGTCATTTGCCGAGCGAGAAATCATCTCCTTCTTCTTTCTTTTTTTTTCTTATATTTACTTTGCTGATTGGATTTTCATATTCGTATATAACGGTGCGACGGAGCGACGACGCGAGTGTACAGTAGTGACGTCACACGGCTCTTTATTATAATAATAAGCTCTAGTCGGACTAGGGATTTTCATTCCGACTGCTGTTGCGCCTTTGTTTGAACTTATTATAAAAGTTAATTATTGAATCGGCGCGCGGGAGTAGGAGCTGGCCCCGGACACGTCGCGTTCCTGTAACTCGATCACCAGCAGAGTCGAGAGATGTGGCACAAAAAATATGTTTCAAAAAGTCGTCGTTCTCTCCCTCTATTATATATACCCTCTTCGAACGAACCAACGACTCAAATCTCGCGAAAAGATTTCAAAGTTCGAGCCGTGTTACGAGGCGAAAAATACCGTTAAAATTAGCAGTGAAACGCGTACGCGCGGAGCTCGGCAGCGTATAAGCGAGCAAAAAGTGCGGCGTAAAGAGAGTGAGAGAAACTTGAAACCCGGGCTGTGTGTGCCGAGCTGCTGCAGGCCATTGTGCGCAAGTTAATGAAGATAAAGGTATTTCGTTCCCCGGACTGCTGCTTTTCAAGCAGTGTGCGCCTACGCGGACGTACATAGCAGTAGGTACTAGGTAGTAGCTTTTGTGTGTTCGCGCGCGAATACACATTCTTTTCAGAGAGGACCCCGCATGGAGGCGCCATTCGGCACGAGAATTTTCAATGTTTTTTTTAAGCTGTGTGCGCGTGTACACGCCCGGGCGAGGATAAGCCGCGATTTCGTTAACGCTCGTTTTCCTCACTCGGCAGCAGTTGTCCCGGCCCCTCCTCCAAAAAAAGGAGATGAGCACATTGCGCAACGAAAAGTCAGTGCTCTGGACTCTGCGATTCGATTCATCGACCTATATCGACGCGATCGCGTCTCTTCGACTGCGGCGTCGATCGTAAAGACGCTTGCGGCTCGGTTACGCGCGCATTTGCATTTAAATCGGTACATTAGCACCGGCTCGCAATTTAATTCCAATTTACAACTCGCCGCAATCTCCCTCTCCTCGCGCGCGTATACGGGACAAATGGCTGCAGCAGTGGATCGTATTGTACTGCCGCAGCGACTGTGTGTATATATACGGCGACGAATGAACAACGCCTGAAGAGCGCGAGCGGAGTTTGTGGCCGACTCGATGTATCGGCTGCTACTGTAAATTGTAAAGAGAGAAAGAGACAGATACGCGCGAAGAAAGCCGAAAGGAGAGGAACCAACACCAACGATGTATCAGCATTATTTTCTTTTTCGTACCCATAACGTCTCTTCTATTTGCGAGCGAGACAAAAGTACGACACCCGTATGTAAATGCTCGACTTTAAGCCATGCCTAAAGACCGTTTCTTACTGTATCGACGTGGATCGTCATTCACTTCTGTATTACGGAGCAAATATTACAGCATTATTTTGTAATACAGCTGCCGAATAAAAGGTTTATTTATAACTTGCGAGTGTCATTTTGCTCGCCTTAATCGTTGTTTCTGGTGACACTGCAGCTTCGTTATCTGTACAACGATAAGATATACATTCTGATTATATTATTCCTTGCGGCCTCTTCTTCTTTTTCTTTTTCTTCTTTGGAGAGTGTCTCGCGAGATTCCTGCACGTTTCGCAGTTATTTATCAAAGTACAGCTGCATCTGCAAGATCTATACAATCGCTACACCTCATAGGAACTAGTAAGCAAGTATGAGGTTATTAACATTTATCACATTGTCTGCTTTGTGTAAACAACACCTTTTCATTATAAATTGTTTATCGTGCGAATTATAATCTCGACAGATAACTCGGCAGCGGACGTTTTTCTCGGCTCGACATTATCGTCACTTTTACACGATATTTACGTATAATCGTATTTATCAGTTTTGCATATATTTTCCAGTAATCGATCGACTTTTTCTCCGGTAATAATGGCTTCCGCTCCAGATGAGTTCCGAGTGGAGCAAGTGCAGTTCGTAAGTCGTAATAATAATCACAACAACGACGACGATATCGAATGAATAATTTTTTTCTTCTCCTTTTTCCATATCCATTCGTTTGACTTTGCGCGCAGCTATTCAGACACGGCGATCGAGCCGCCTTGAAATGGGAAGTCTACAAGACCGACCCGTACGACGACGTCTATCGAGGCATCGGCTACGGTCAGCTGACAAAAGTAAATATTATTGTCGTATTATACTTTTTATAAAGGCGTGACGATTTGAACTTATCAATTGAATTATCTTTTTTCTTTACGCGCACAGATCGGCATGCAACGAATGTACAGACTCGGGCAGATGTTGAGGAAACGATACGCCGATTTTCTCGGTGACGATCCGGAAACGGGTGAATTTTACGCGCGCAGCACCGAGAGCGAACGCACGAGAGTGTCGCTGCAGCTGGTTCTCGCCGGACTGATACCGCCGAGGCAGAAGACCCGATGGCACGACGAACTCGATTGGGTCCCGATGCCGGTGCACTACGTCCATCACAGCACAGACATCTTGATGAGCGTCGTGCAAGAGGCCAAGTATGCGCAACCGCTTGACACCACACGCAACCGATTTCTGCTAAATGTTTTTAATTGAAATAAAAAAATTGATCTCTCTCAGCTATCGCAAGTTGCTGCGGGAGGTCTTCGAGTCGACCGACTTTCGCAAGCAATTCGACAAGTACAAAGACTTTTACGCGCGTTACACCGAGGCGACCCACATGACCTGTCGAAGGCCCCTGTCGCCGATCTTGATCACGAGCAATCTGAAGTGCGCCCAAGCGCTGGGTCTGCCTCGGCCCGATTGGTGCAGCGACGAGGACTTTGCGACGCTCGAGGAAATCATGGGCAAGTATTACGACTCGATGGTCACGACGGACACGATGAAGAAGCTGAGCACGGGCCCGTTCCTAGAGGAGGCGCTGAAGAACATACAGCGGCCGCAAGACGGCAGAGTCAAGATGTACCTCTACAGCGCCCACGAGTTCAACCTGGGTTGCTTTCTGAGGGCTCACAGGCCCACGAACGGCCCGATGCTGCCCGAGTTCGGCAGCTGCATCGCCATCGAGAAGCTGAGAGGCAAAGACGATCGAGTTTACATAAGAGTGAGTAGTTAACATCGACGATCGAACGCAAAGAGAGCTCGAGATTACACCGTGAGTTTTTTTTGCGCAGATACTCTACTGGGACGGTGGCAGTCCCGCCGAGCCCGAACAGATGTACCCCCTGAAATTCGGCGACTCCAATCGAATGGAGCATCTACTGGAGGATTATTTAGAAATGGTACGAGATATTCTACCGGACGATGAATCCAAGAAACTCATGCCGAAATATTATCAAAAGCAGCCGGCGAGCGATACCGACAACTCGACCGATTTCGCTATACTGATAGCAGGTCCAGATCTGCTGGCGGTGAAAAACTACGACGGCTGAAACATTTGTATTGCACTCGTGGTAAAGGTCGATTCGATCGGCAAAATATATAAAATAATGTAAAGTACATTTGCGCACGTATTTGATGTAAAATAACAAATGATGTAGAAAATAAGAAGTCAATAAACAAGAGAGGTAGGATTTTTATGTAAAAATAGTTGTAACAGAACTGCGTACACGATATACATTATAATATAGTCTCGCTGACACTATGCGCAGCGGAACAAGAATAAGCTCCAAAGGAGAGAGCGAGAGAGAAATGCGCAAGTGGTGGTTCGTCGTCGCCGGCAGCAAAGTAAAGCGTCAGCAGCAGCGGCAGCAGCACGTGCACTGCTGCACACCACCACTACTACTCGGGGGACACAAAAGCTCGTCAAATATTTGCCGCGTTGTACACCACCCACACACCCACACACACTCGAGACGTAGCTCGACGTTGACGCGGAAGAATACGAGAGTCTCGTTGCTCGTTTCGCTGCGCCGTCGCCGCGGATGTGAGTCAAGTACTGCTGCGCACCTGCATGTGTGTACTGTGTCGCGCTCTGTGTACGCAAACACACACGCGCACGGGTGTACCACGATCATAATCCAGCTGCGCGAATATTTTTGTCCGTTAGCCGCGACGCTTGTAAACGAATTCGTACACACACGCGTTGCGGTCGATCGATCGGCTAGCAGCCCCCAAAAAAAAACACCAAAAAAAGGGAGGAACAAAAAAAAACAGGGCCACAGGCTGCGTATAGGCGCTAAGCCGCTTACGATATAGGCACAGTGCGGTGGTCTCTCTGTGTACAACACAGCTCCGCGTCGGTACACTCGGACACAAGACTTGCCATATATATACCGGTACACATACGCGCCGAATTTCATCGCAAATTCGCATTCTCTATCCTCGGCATATACTGCACTACTATATATACGCGCGAGTAGATGAGTGACGAGTGTGTGTGTGTGTGTGTGTGTGTGTGTGTGTGTGTGTGTGTGTGTGTGTGTGTGTGTGTGCGTGTGGTGCTCCCAATGAACTCGTAACTCCGGCGCTAAGAGGATTTCGAGAGAGCTGCAGCAGCCGTCCTCGAAAACTTCGGGCCAATGGTCAACTTGCGCTCTGCTATATATAGATTTACTTTAAAAGCCATCGTGCTCCTGGTATAATGCTCTCTCTCACTGGCTCCTTTTTTGTTAGCTGCTGCTGCCACTCTCCCGCGCTAGCTCTTTATTACCAATTCATCCCGGCTAAAAGGCTTCTCTCTCTCACTCACTTGTGCTCTGCCGAATGCTGCTGCTGCTGTGCACTTTCAAATTCTTAGGCTTCTGAATCATGCAAATGCGTACTTGAAGCGCGAGATAGAGAGAGAGAGAGAGAGAGAGACGAGATTCCCTTTCGGATCGGTTGGGTGCTAGAAATTTCGTCGTCGCCCTGCAGCAACCCCCCCTCTCTCTCTCTGCTACATATTTTATGTTTACTAATGAACAAATACATGCCGACGACTTTCCGCTCGATCGCCGCGACAGACTATCGGATCAGTATAGTTTTAAATGTTCGTAAACAAACGTCGAATCGTTATAAGCTCCTTTCGAACTACTTCAGCGATGGAAGATCAGAATAATAATTACGTCAAAGAGGCACCCCAGCTTGTCCAGCATTACAAGATCAGCAGGTATGCTTACCATTTTTTTTTTTTTTTTTACTAAAGAAAGAAAAACCTCGTGAATTTGAGTGTTCACTATATACAACCTCGCTCGATTTCAACAATAAATCGAGTTTCATACTTGAATATAGCGAAAATAAGCTCGCGATTTGAATGTAAACAAAATTTTTGTGCGCAGTGACAACGACCTCTCACCGATCCCCAAGCAAGTCGACAGATACTGGAAAAAGAGACGGGTGACCGAGGACGACTACAGCGACGACGACGACGAAGACGACCAAAAGAAGGAGGAGGCGACGGATGTGTACACGTCGAGCATGGCCGTGCTCCTGATGAAGTCGAGCGAGGAGTCCAACAACAGGCGGCTCAGGGAGGTCAAGCAGTGCTGGCGTCTGCGCTGCGAGTCCTTCGACAGCGACGACACGGACGTGGCCACTGATCAGCCCGAGGAGTTGCGCGACCTCGACATGGGCGACGAGGACGAGGCCGATCTGCTCGACGCCACCCTGGCCTCGGAGTTCCTCGCCGAGATCAACAACGAGCACGATTATTACGGGGCGGATAAGGGCCTGCTCATACTGACCTCCACGGCCTCGCAGGAGAGCCAACAGATGGAGGCGATGGAGCTGCAGTCGGACGACTCGTCCACGGTTTCGAGCGTGTTCGAGAGCTCCGAGGGCCGTGGCGGCAGCGCCGGTGGCTCGCTCTACTCCACCGACGAGGAAGATCACTACGACTCCAAGGTAGGTTACACATACATACTTCGATTACCTACGATATCATACGTTATATCGTTTCTTTGATCAGATGGACATCTCTCCGGAGCCAAACTCACCGAGGACCTACGTCAGCTCCTTCGAGATAATCATGCCGGATTATCCGATGGACCACCAGGAAGCCCAGATAAGACCGATGGAGAATACCTAATCGTTACCCTCCTCCTCCCTTGTGGCATCGTTATTACAATTGTTTATATATTTTTATCGAAACTCGCTCCGTCTTTCTCAGTAGAATACCAAAAATTTTTTTTATATAATATCAATGTTAATTAATGGATAACGAGAATGTTAGATTATAAGCTAAGTATAGATTTTATATTTTTTTATATAAATTATAATTAATGAAATTTCGTTGTTAGTGTGTGCACGTTATTATACTCGATTAATCTTTACAACAAAAGTATTCATTTTAATAAAAAAAAAAATAATAAACACACATATCGATAACAACTGTACGTAATCCATCCAGCTCTCGAGTTTTCACTGTGTGTAGTGTGTGCGCCAGGTGTAATGAAAAAGATTAACACAGTAGTAGTAGTGCACAGCTCGCGCGCGAGAGAGACCTATATAATCGCACTCGCGTATGCATATCGTACACGGATCCGTAAAGCCCAAAGTTTCGACACGCAAAACTTTTCCTTTGGAGCTCGAGAGAGAGCACAGCTCGACAGGGCTCATATTCAATAGGGCACGAAAGTTCGACTAATCGGAAACGGCGTGACAATTTAAAGCTGTATAGCTAGGCTCGGCGCTTGTTCGCCTCGACATCCGTTTTCCGGGCCTTGTAAAACTCATCTCGCCCTCCAACGCAGCTACTATAGCAGCGCAGCACAGTTGAGACGGTAAATTATGTTCCCGCCGCGTTATACCTGCAAAACAGATCCGTTCGTGCGTACACGTACATGCGAGTGTACCGAAAAGTTGCGCCGACTGTGAAATGTCGAACGTGTGCGTCGTTTTTTTTTTTCAATTTTCCCAATACGCTGTACGCGCGTCGAGTCACATAGATCGAGAGTCGCGCCGATAAAAGCGTAGGTATATAAAAGATATATACGAGAGAGGACTAAAACACGGCTTGCTGCACTTAATGACCGATAATACGGACTTTATTATCGGCTGCGTGCGCGGGGCTACATACCAATGGACATCCTGTGTGTGCAGCGCGTGATCTCGAACGAGCGATTTTCCTTACGCGCAATTGGCCTCGAATCGAGCCAAAGCTCGGCCCGCCCTCATGACCAATTACCCATGGGCGCTACGTCGAGTGAATTTTCAAAGATGTAAAGAAAAAAGGAGGCATGATAAATAACAAATACCAGAGGATTTATAATCGCAACAGACATATATAATAATGAATCTTACTTTTCAATTTCAGAGGCTCATACAATTGCGAGTAAAAATTATACTTTTTTTTCATAATAAGTATTATACTGACACAATTAATCTATCGCCTGTAGCCGTCGATCGATAATACACATACACATAATGTAAGTATAGCTCCTTGCTTTTGCGAGATGATGCATCGTTTCTTTATTATTATTTACAAAAGAGACATCTTTCCAGAGTATAACAAATTACATATAATGTAAAACAATCGATCACGAGCTGCCTGGAGTCTGCTCAACTCAATTCGTTATAATAAGAACTTGTCGATATATTATTGTTATAAGTTTGTTTTTTTGGAACATAATTTTCTGCACGTGGTCTAGAACCTAACTAGCATTGAAATTTTTACGGAGCAGAGTGAGAAAAAGAGAGATAGAGAGACATTGAGACAGATTGAATTTTAAAATAATTATTCTTGCGTAGTTCTGTTTATACAATCGTTGCTCGATAAAATAGGCTTATATTTTATAAGATTAATCATGAAAATTGTACCAAGTTTTTCGATATGTTTTAACAATTCATTCGCATAAAAATACCATTCACAAAAAAATATAATTTTTTTTCCCTTACCGCTGCGGAGAAGCAAATTGACGTGAAAAATTGTTACTTTTTAAAATCGATCGGAAAGTGTTTCGCACCTGGTACATATGGAATCAAAAATAATTTATTTATTTCTCTGTGAGCACGATCATCGAATATCCAGCGCAGCGTTTTGATTGGCAGAATATTTGTTGTTGTTTTTTTTCACCAACTTGAAATTAGTTCACTAGCAAAATATTCGCTTCATTAATTGTACAAATTTAAAAGTTACTTTATGTACAAAATTAATTTACAAAAAATCTCGTGAAGGTAAACGGAGTGATTGAGAAAATAATCTAAACGATCGAGTTTTGTCATCGACGAAAAAAACATTTCGAATAATCGTCATTGCATCGCTTAGTTTTTTTTTTTAATTTTATAATTTCATAAATCTATTATGTTTTTTGACATCATTCTAAGTGCTTTCACGTATAGTACTTCCCTTTTTTTCATTAGTAATAGACAACAATATGTATATTATTCGCTGGGCTTTTTCGTCCCGTTATTCTCAAAATGCCTTCGTTAAGTATCCTCGATACGATCAACTATATATTATAATTTTGCTTTGTATCTAATTTTTATCAACTATAATAATTTCATATTGTGCGAAACTCAGTATTTCTATTCTCTATCACCTACTAATACTCGAAGGCATGTTTATTCTTTAATATAAACAACGGATTTTAAAATTTAATAAAAAATTTACTTTAAGAGATCATTTTTCCAATAAAAATTATGAAAAAACAAGCTCCGACGCGTCTCTCGAGATGAGAATTTTTAATTCGCCTTTACCGAATTAAAAATAGCTCGAGGGTGTTGATCTTGTGAATTATCAATTTAGTTAACTGATTCATTCAGCGTATCACAGATCTTGTCCGATATTAATATATTTTATTTGTATTGTTTTTGTTTTCTTGGGCATCGTTTGACAATTGTTCCTTTTTTGTTTTTGATACGTAAATCACTCGTGCCCGTTGAAAACATTTTTTTGAACTATGCCGTTATATCAGAGCGTCTCAGTAGTATAATAATTTATACTGTTTTTTGTCCTAACGATTACTAATATAGTCATAGGTGCAAATAAAAGTTATTAGGTGCTAGTTATACAAATATATTGTTCTAGGAACAAAAAGACTCGATTTAGTAATTTCAATTTACTATATTATTAGTTCTATGAATTTTTTTGAAAACTTTTATTGCATATTTTCAACTAGTCAACGTCTTCTCTTTTTTATGCAAAGCACTATTTATAAATGAGTATATATTTTTTTTAATTTTCCTTGCCATGGAAGTGTTTTACATTTTTACAAAGAGGCTGATATGTATGGTAGACAAAAAATGAACAAAATTACGATTCATCCCAATCTTTGGTAAATTCTGTATGTTTTGGAATAGAACCTGAGATTTACTGATGCATATTATTAATGGCGTTTTGCTAATTAACATTTGGAGTGACTATTTGTTAGTTTTTTATCATTGATTCTCGTTAATGTCGAGTTTACTCATGATTTATTTAGATTCACAGACACAGATTTATCGTCACGTCGTTATTTTGATATGATGATTTGATATTCAGTATGAATATAAACTAAATATAGAAATTAGTGAATATTCAATAATATCGACAATGCGTCAAGTGAAAAACCTTGACCTTATTTGTTTGACGAATTATGAAAAAAGGGTCTGCGAAAAAACAAAAACTTTGCTGATTCGTTAACGAAATGAAATTTAATGCTTTAATAATAAAATAAAAAATAAAACAAATGATTAAGTACATGGAATATGTCAACATCTCATATATACATTTATATTTGTCTATATAAGCATCATTAATAATATAATAAGTACATAGCATAAATGTTCTTTTCATCTTTCATTATATTGTGCTGGCGACATTGTTCTCTTTATGTGACGTTTTATCTTCCATCTTTTTTCACAGAGAAGACAGAACCGATGTGTGCACCTAACTCTCAGTTTGTCAAGATGTTGGAAAATTATGATAATAAACTGTACTTTCGATTTTTATTAAGTATCACGTTTCACTAAGTATTGTAAGATACTTTGAAAAATCCACTAAATTAAATTTTAATTAAGTAATTGCAAACTCTGTACAAGCTGGTAATTAAATACAATAGGCAGTCTAAAATAAATGTGTGCGAATTATCGAACAGTTCTGTACAATTGAATAATCTTTTTTCCTACTTCATAAATTTTTTCGTTATAACGTCAACGCTTATGGTTGATCTTTTCTCAAAAAATGCATAAAACCCAACGAAGTTTTGCATCGACGTCAGCCTCGTCCTTGAATATTTAATTTACAATAACACTCTGAATTTTTTCGCTAATTGTCAATTGTAAAAAAAAATTTGCATTTCTCATCTTTGTGAAAAGGATACCGTTAAAAATATATATACACATAAAAATACAATAATTTAATTTTCTGACAGCGAAATGGCACACATTCTCGCTTATATAACTCTCTCACACTTGTTCTATGCGATAAATTTATACATTCACTATATAATACTTGATCGACGTGTCGTATATAACTTTTTTTCTTTATAATAACACGTTAAACTTATGCCAATAACACGAACATATATTCCGTTACTCAGCTTCGGTAACCTAAAATCCATTTTTTTTACAAATGCAACAAGTTATAATCAACAACATTCTTATTCTCCTTTCGTGCCTCAGAGACATCTTGCGCGTCAAAGAAAGTATGTTTTGAGAATCACGCAAAGGAAAAAACAAAACTGACGTCGCTTTGTTAGTATCATTTTCATACAATTTAAAAATTTCAATATATATTTATAACTTTTTGTTTCTCACTGAGCATAGAGTTTTTTTTTAAACACGCTCAAAGTGTTGCGTTTCGCGCGCTTCAAGTATATTTTTTTCTCTTTTGTGTTAAAAGCACTTCGATCGTGTTTTTAGCGTAATAAAAACGTCGAAGCTTGAGTTGGCTTGGCTTCATTTATTGCGAATATTTTTGATCCTTAATTATTTTAGCGAGTGGTTAAAGAGGAGCTTTCATGATGAAAAATCGTGCTTTGCACCACTATTACTCGGCGTTGCTCTTTACTGCGTGTCGGTGCGAAAATAATCAGCAATCGTCTTCTTTAACTCCTCGCGCTACAATTGCACCTGTGGGATTAAAATAAAATTGGTATTACAATAAGAAAACTCTCACGCTAATTTCAATTTTAAATTCCGAGCAAATCGCAAGTTCGTACCTGAAAAGCTTGCGTTGTATTGGGCACGATGAAGGGATTCGTTAAAGACGCCTGTCGAAGATTGCGCGCGGCGATTTCTGCCCACTCGGCGTCGAACGGATCGGCGGGACCGGACCTCGGGGCAGCCGACGGGGCCTGAGTCGAGCCCAGGCTCATAGCTCGCGAGTGCAGCGGGGGTGCTCTGCGCGGCGCAACGGCAGGCGGCACAAGTGGAGGAGCCTGCACTTGGCTCACCGACGTCGTCGTCGGAGCGGAATTCGACGCAGCAGCCGCGGCGGCCACTTGCGTCGTCACGCTGCCCAGCCACTGCTCGGGATTCGGTAGGTTACCTGTGCTCTGTATCGCTTGAACCTGCAACGAGCCGATCGTTAGAAAATGTTTCTCGAGCTACCTACTGTAATTAAGTTTAATTTTTTTTTTCGTCAACTTACAGCTGCAACGGGAATGCTCGACGTCGTGACCGGCGTTGTGCACACGGACGAGATATTCAAATTACCGATGCCCGAGATGCTGCTGGTCACGGCGCTGTTGCCGGCCGATATGGGCGACATCGAAGACGACGAGTCGCTCAGCATAGGCAGAGCAGCGGCGGCGGGCTGATGCACGATCTGAGAAATTGACGACGGCGAGTCGTTGAGGCTCGGCATACCGGTCGGCGGCTGCTGCTGCTGGCCTATGTGCGAGAGCGACGACGAGGACGAGTCGCTCTGAGTCGACAGAGCCTGTTGCTGCTGCTGCTGCTGCTGCTGCTGCTGGTTATGAAGCGACGAGTGGCCCCCGGCGAGCGAGTCGGTCGTCGATGGCTGCACCTGATGAGTATTACCGATGGAGGTGGTCGAGGCGTTACTGAACGCTGGACTGGCTGCTGGCGTATCGAATATCGAGGCTATTATATTGACGAAACTCTGGTCGCTTTGTATTTTGAGATCATCAAGAGAATTGCTGCTGGTTACTGCAAGTACATTGATATCGATCGATCAGTTTTAGGAAAAAATAACACCCTTGCTGCATTTCTCTAAATTATCTCTGAATTATGAGCAGCCTACTATACGCATTATGAAAACGTAATCGTACCTCCAGAGAAAGCAGAAGTTGCGTTGTTGACCAGATTGTTGCTCAAGTTGTTGCTGATATTGTTGCTCATCAAGTTGCTGCTCATCATGTTATTGCTCATCATGTTGTTGGCGAAAAGCTTCTTGGCGACGGACGACGCGGTGCCACCGCTGCTGCTCGTGATGCTGGGCGCGTAATCGTCGTTGCTCGAGAGCAGCGACAGACCGCGCGACAACTGCTGACACATGGCCGAGACGCTGTCGTGGCCACTCGGTGATATCTCGGGTATCGGACTCACTATTAAAAAAAAACAAGAGTACGGTCAAGCATTGAAAAATATTTAACGGTATACAGATTACTTGTGCAATTTTGCGAAAGAGTGTGAGTACTACTTCCGTTCATGCAGCATGGTTGATGTTTTTTTGAGACATCGGTAGGAGAGAATGAGAAACACAATCTCTAAATGATGAAACTTTTATGTACGAAATTAACAAAAATTTAACGTCTGCGCTAAGGATGAGTCACAGCTAATATATTCATGGCAATACAGTTAAACATTGAGTGCGTGTTAGTAACGACCTTCGTTATATCCATCGAAGTCTGTTGCCGAAAAATAAGGAAAATACAATTATTCTTTATTTTTCATCCCTCAAGCAACGCAGATAATTGCGTTGCATCTTTTACAACGGCAAATATCCAATTGAAAGCGAGTTAAAATGGGCTCGTTTCTTACCTGGTGGCTTGACGGGGATCTGGTGTGGCATGGTCTGTGGCAGGCGCGCGAGATCGGTCGGCTCCAAGCTGTGGCTGCGTACCCGTTCGAAGTTGCTCGGCAAGTCGTTTACGCGCAAACTTAACTGACGCTTGAACGGCGAGGCTTGATTCAGTTGATTGAAACCACGGAAAGAGCCCTGTCGTTCGAGCATCGAAGGCGTCGCGTGCGGCCTCTCGATCGCGAACGGATTGTACACCTGACGCGCGGATACTGGTACTACGTCTGGTGTGGACAATAGCAAGATCATTAGTTTTTCATGAAACAAGATTATACTTTTGTTTCTCTTGGGTGACATGTTTTTGTTTCGTACCTATAGCGCGCTCTCGACTGTCCTGCAGTCGTTCCGTCAAACTGGGTTGTCTAAAACTACCACTTCTGGTGAATGTAGACGTTTTTTGGTCAAAGGTCATAGTCACTTTGCATTCTTTATCACGCATTTGCTTTCTTTCCAAACATGCTGCGAAAGCGCAGCCCACGGCATGACTTAATCTTTCTCCCTAGAAAAGTGAACCATGCATCCATTGTTATTAAACATGATCAAGTGATTGCTAAGCATATAATATATCTTCAAGCTCTTACAGTTTCTTTCAATGCTAAGAACCCATGGCACATCCAACGTCTTGTGGTACCATCCCTGCAGATGTAACTAAACCCTTTATCATGATTTCTGTCAGGTGCGCAGAAAGATACTTTTTCAATGGTTTGATCCACAATCAATCCTTTTGTTTCATCTTCAACAACTCGTAGCCCATCTCCAGAAATATGTAATGTTGCTCGGACTGGCCTTCTTTTAGAATTCTGCAAGTCCAGATAATCAATCATTAGTACTTTGAAAATGTAGAAATCATTATTTTATAAAATACAAAACAATATGCTTACCCTAAGTACTTTTAAAGCTTCCTCACAAACTTGCATCCCCCTAGAGTCGTAAACTTCTACACAGCCCAGATACTAGAAACAATAAAAAACATAAGTATATATTTTAACTACAATTCATTTTAATTATCTTATTTCAATTTCTAGGATATTATTGAACTTGAGGCTATGTCCAACCATTGTAAATATATACATGGTTATGTTTTATAGGAATAGTAAAGTGTGTTCAAAATTCAATCAAGTTATACAATATTTATAAGAAGAAGATGTCAGTTATTAAGCAAAATAATACAATCATACTTTCAGTTTCAACAGTAATGAATCATAGAGAAAGAAATGTTACCATACTGAATGGTATTAAATTTTGGAGTTTGGGACATGGCAAAATGATCTTACTGCACTCCATAAGTATTAATAATGAGAAAAATATTTTTTCTTTGTATGAATTTTTATAAATAAATTCCAAGTTCCATCAACTTTTATATTAAAATTTATTTGAGCACAGAAAAAAAATCGATCAACATACAGTTTAGAGAACTGGCATAAAGATAAAATTGAAGGAAAAAGAAGGTTGAAAAATGAGGAAAAAGTATCAATACCTTGACTTGAAAAGCGCATGTGGCCGTGCGTACTGCATTTTCGTCCGACTGCCAGAGATGTGGTTTACTGGCCTCGGGTGTGTGTGGCTCTTTTCGCCGGCGAAAGCTGTCGCGAAAACTCCTCCTCAACCGGTCCATTCTTTTACCGGGCGATCGTTCTCGTTTCTGCAACAGAATGAAAGAAATGGGAAAATTAAAAACTCGTCTCGAATAATGTACATCACAATGTAAATAAAGAAATGTGTCAGTGGGAAAATCCCTGTAGCTGTTTACAGTTGAAATACATCATACCACACACTCAGACAAGAGACGACGACTACTCACACTCACATCGTTCGTATGGAAAATGGCAAGATCTTTTCGCGAATCGTTTATAACGGTTATCAAACGAGTACTATTCCATCACAGGTGTATCCAACGACACACACGCTTATATTATACAGGTATATAGACAAACACAAGCACAACAACACAGCAGAGAAGTGTGAAACTGACAAATGACAAGTAGAACTCGGCGTAGCAGACAGTTTTTTAGCTATATAGCCTATCTACAGGCGCCACCACGGCGCACGCGCCAGAGTTTCGACAGCCAAGCGAAGAACTGAGACTCCGAGCTCCGAAAGCGAACTTGGGTAATGTGAGTTGTGTACATACACACACTGCTGCTGCTGCTGCTGCTGCTGCTGAAGTTGCCCATAACTCTATATAACTTGTTACTTATATAGTTCTCGCAGCAAAAGCGTACATAACTACTATAAATGTTGTTACCTATCATTACTTTTTGTTTGTTCACGAGAATCTTGTATTCATCTACTCTAAATAATCCCTGCATCGCTTCGAACATCAAGTTTTTAATCTTGGAATAGATACACAAAGTACGGATAGCAAACTCTGATCGACTTTGATGGAATATGTACTATTTACCAATACCGGATTACAGTCTATCAAACTGGAATTAGGGATACGCGTGTTTTTTTTTGCCTAATTTTCATATCCAACTAATGATCATAATCATCCGATCAAGTACGTGTCTTTTCTTATACAATCGAGTAGCGCCGAGGGTGGAACGAAATAATTGAAGCGTCGAGCCGGGGGTAGTATAGTAAGTACACGTGATAAAAAAAGGGCTTTGGGGTGGCGAGAATCGCTGATTGCGGCATTGTACGCCTTTACACGCACATGTCCATTATAATTGGTCGATAAAATACGAGTCGACAAAGCACGTAATGTTTAATTTTTGTCGCCAACTGTCATGTAGCTTCGATAATAAATTCGTTACCGCTCTCAAGTATATGTAGTTAAAAAAATATGTCATTCTTTTCCATAAATATCGTTCGGCGCGTCTCACACGTTGCGCCGCGCCAGCGTGCGATAATACACCTATATATAGTATATACCTGCGCACAGAAAATATCCTTACATAAGACGCGGCGCAGCGAGGGGTCATGGCTCTCTCTAGTCAGGGACCTCGTACATATACACAATACAAATCGGAGCGGCCAAAAAAGGAAACTCGTCCGCCGTCGTCGGAGCGCAATAAGGGAGAGAAAAGATCTGCAAGGCGAATGGGGAGGGAGAGAAAGAGATGTGTGTGTGTGTGCCGGAGACAGAAAAAGGGCCTAGAGCCAATGCCTGCTTGGCCTCTGTGATCGAATCTTTGCCTTGGTTCCCAAAGAATCGCAGGCGCAGCAGCAGCAACAAGGCAACAACCCCCCTTACAGTGTATTTATTATATGCGTCGGCTCGAAAAACGTGCCGAGAAGCGATGCACATGTCTAAGCATGGGTCCTATTATTCTCGCGTCTATTGCACGCCTCAAGATTTAATATTTCACCGATACGTGTATATGCGTTTGACGCTCCGACCGACGTCGTTTCACACACACCCTGTGTTATACGTATATAGTCTCGAGAGTTTTCCTAATTCCTAGGCTCTATAATCGAGTCCGCTCCGAGGGATATTGCAATCGGACACGAGCGAGATGAGAAATTTTTAATAGATCCACTGGGATGGCGATGACGACGACGACAGTGTGTCGCGCCTGAAAATGACTCTCTCTCTCTCTCTGTTTATTACGTCGCGCGAAATTGCATATATCGAACTGAAAGAGCCGTGCCATATGGCTTTGGGCTGTGTCCTGTCACCACCGCACCGACTAGCTCTCTTTTGATAACACGTGCGTTTCTGACCAGTCTGTGTCCTTTAATATTAACAGCTATATAATTCATATGCCGCGTGAGAAATAAGCTACCCTTTCGACTTGATAAATAATCAATTGATTACGTTTTTTTTTCTTTTTTTTTAATAAGCCACTTGTTCTTTGATTTGCGTCATATCCATTGTAAACGATTCGCTGGATACAACACAATGGCTTAACAAAAAAACGGGAACACGCTGACGCGTATTATAATAATACGAGAGTAGACCACAAGTTGGCAAACGCGACCGCGTGGATGCGATCGTGGCTTATTTGCCGTGTGTATAGTGCGTTCGCAGGATAGAAATAAAAAAAACAGGACAAAACGCCTAATTCCAAGAGCATGGGATGTTCCGGTCGGTTGGCTCGCCGTGCGGACGTACCGAGACCTCGTGCTTTTTCTCTCTCTTTTTTTTTTGTTTTACGATCCTTGCTGCTGCTGCTGAGCATGCAGCACGCAATTGCAGCCGCAGCAGACACAGACACACAACGACATTGAACGTTTGAACAATTATGCACATTATGAAACTTACGTAAAATCTTGCGGCGCAAAAAATATGTATGTGTGTATGTGATTACATTACTGTAACGCGCCGCTGTATGCTAATATTTCGTGACACAGATTATATATTATAATGCGCGCGACGGCGGCGGCGGTGGAGCCCCGCAGACATTTTGTCATGATAGTTTTGTCACACTGCTGCTGCCGTTGGCTTGATTCGACGAGGTGGAAAAACATGTATACGACGACGCGCGATGGATTAATGAATGTGGAAAAAACTGACGTCAGCCGGTTATTTCTTTTTTTTTGTACGAGTTACAAAATTGCAAGTACGCTGTAAAAATAATGAATAGCCAGGCGTGCAGTTAGCCGCGCGGACATACGTAATTATTATCGTTTCGTGACGCAGAGAAAAAAAACATAGACGCAAAGATGTTCCTCGGCGCAACGCGTGATCACGCACAGCCAACATTTCAGAGTCGCGATAAATGCAAAATTAATGAAAAAATTGCAACGAACGAAAATAATAATAACGAAGGCGAAAACCGGCACGCGTCGGATATTTTCCACTCGAGATATCGTCGATAATAGAGAGAGGCAGACTCGAAAGAAGGCCACTTGTGTGCGCAGAGCGAAGACAAGGCAGCGGCAGCAGCTAGCTCGCATGTGCGAAAGTTAGCCCGATCTGCGCTGCTCGTTGTGTGTCGCTCCCCCGAGAGCTGAGCCGCCGCAGCAGTGTGTATCATCATATTGCTGTACTTAAATCCGATTAAAATCGGCGCGCACTACTATACTACCACCGCCGCAAAACCGACGATGAACGATTATAGATACGCGTATAATAATGCCGTCGTCAATCGTGTGTCGCTGACTGCGCCTGAATGACACAAAATTACTTAATCTGTTTTTTTTTTATCGAAGCTCATTGTTGTGTCCGTTACAAACTCGTATTTATAATGAGGCCTTGCGTCATCGTCGAATCGGACCGCATTCGGTGCATAATTCGCACGCGGATGATGAATTCACCTTATGTGCTCGTGTTATTTTTTCGTATTCATTACTCCTTAATAGAAATCAATGCGATGGTATCGTTCGTGCGAACATTCACACACTTCTTTATTAATACGCGACTTATATATAATAAAGACGTAAGAGATAACGCGCGATGATCTCGTTCTGCGCTGCTATATTATAGCCTGTATATACAATTTTAAATCTCTTTTTAAGTCGTGAAAGGACGAAACGTTGAATCATGCGCGGGTGACTTTCTTTTTCTGTTTTTTTTTTTTTTATCATTTTTTTATTTTACAAGTGTCGAGAACGACTAATGCGCCAAGAATTCGCTCGTTGCATGAGCTCAGGCTACAAAAAAGTCGGTGCAAAAGTTAGACGAGCAGATCGTATAGTGGTGCAACGAGCGGCGTGACTCTATATAGACCGCCGCGGGCGCCTGTTTTTTTTCTCTCTCGTTTGTTTCTTAGAGCTTTGTATCTTTTTTCATCGATCCAGTTCTCTACTGCTTAACTGAGAAAGTTGAAAAGTCCGATTGCCGATCTGCGCAGGTCTCGCGTACATTTGCGCTTTTCGCTTATTTTCTTCGATTTCGTTCGAGTGTATCTCCGCGAAGAACGAGAAAACGAGAACGAGAGAGATGATTTTTTGCTACAGCATTATGATAAAAATCGTCTCAATGGCTAATTTCCTGCGAGTGGAGTTTGCAGAGAATTTCAAGAAAAGACTCTCGATCGTCGTAATTTACTTTTTGAAAAAAGAAGCGGAGAAAAAAAATTACCCATTCAATGCCATTCAAAAAACCGGACATTTACCTCTCTCTCTCTCTCTCTCCTCGTATCATCGTAAATTAAGCGTGTAATATGACGAGCAGCCGAGCCAAAGTATTTACGAGAAAATAAAAATGCGAGCGCGCGAAAATTTCCATCCGCGTATACGCATAGAGGAGGTATAAGAGGAAACGAGCATTTTGCTTCGCGGATAAATAATAAGCTCTACTTTGCTACTTCAGGTGCATCCACACAGACGTTTCAGATGCGCGTCTATAAATGACTCATCCGCGTGCACGCATATACACACAAAGCGAGAGAGTAAAAAGAAGAATAACCTTGAGCCAGCTGCATCGCCACACGCGAAAGAGAAAGAGAAAGAGAGAGAGAGAGAGAGAGAGAGATAAAGAGAGCAGGCCAAAGAGCAAAAGTACATATAATAATGGAAAATTGTTTTCGATTGCTACTGTGCGATGTTACTGCTGCTCTCCGCGAGTTGACGTTTGACGTTTTTGTGAAAAATGCCAGATGTATTTACACGCGAGCAATGAATGGACGAAGAGAGACAAGAGAGCTTTGTCGAGCTGCTGTGACGTTCCATCGCGAAACACACGCGTCGCGCTATCGCTTCCAATGAAAATCATCGTGTCTTTTTTCTCGCGCCCAAAGGTCATTAGCTATATAC